GAACCCGCGGGCTCAGGCAATCCACTCACCTCAGCCTCCCAAAAGCGCGGGATTACAGGCTGAGCCACTGAGCCCGGCTTAATGTTTTTTAATTTTTTTTTTTTGTAGAGACGAGTTCTCGTTATTTTGCCCTGGCTGATCTCGAACCCCCAGGCTCAAACAACCTTTTTGCCTTGACCTCCCAAAATGCTGGGATTACAGGAGTGAGCCACTGTGCCCATCTGGCGTTGTTTTAAATAATGTTGCATTTGAAGCAGTTTCAGGATGTAGAAATGGAAATGTCAGTCGGGTGGAGATCTGAGCCTGACTCTCAGGAGAGAAGTCTGGGTGAGAGAGAAGGGTTGGAGAGGTGTCTGCACCCAGGTGGGTGTGGAAGCAGGAGAAGCATGAGACCTCGGGAAGGCAAGAGAAGGGGCCATGCCAAGTTGAGGCCTGTGAGACCACTGACAGGTAGTAGCTGAGAGGAAAAAAATCGAGACAAAAATAGGAGAATTTTTAGAAAATCAGAATTCTTTCCCAGGAGGAAGAAAATAACAAAGGGAAAAAGAAAGGCCCTGAAAATGAAACAAAAACTGAGAAGGCAAAGTCAGGGGTGAGAAATGGACAAACAGGAATTTTTACACATGCGTGTGCACACACATGCCCGTGAAGTGCAAAAGATATGAATTGAAATAGAACCAGAGAACCTTATCTGAGGAAGGAAGAAACTGGATGTGTTATGCCAATTAATAAACACCTATGTAAATAAGGCTTCTCTATCAAAGGAGAGCAGCTTTGTCCTTGAGGAGAATTATAGAAGACATGCTCCTTGCTCTCAAGCACTTAAACCTAGTAGAGGATCCGAAATTCGTCCGGGAAAGGAGGCCTTGACAACTTTTGCTCTTTTTTTTTTTTTTTTTTTTTTTTGAGTTGGAGTCTCACTCCGTCACCCAGCTGGAGTGCAGTGGTACGCTCACAGCCACCATAGCATCCACCTGCTGGGCTCTGGCGATCCTTCTGCCTCAGCCTTCCAAGAAGCCGGAACTACAGGCACATGCTACCACACCTGGCTAATTTTTATTTATTTATTGTAAAAAAAGACGAGGTCTTGCCATGTTGCCCAGGTTGGTCTTGAACCCATGGGTTCAGGCAATCCTTTCACCTCAGCCTCCCAAAATGGTGGGATTACAGGCTTGAGTCACTGCACCTGGTCATTCTTTGCTCTTGAAAGTGAGTGACCAAGGTTTGGCCACTGATGACCAGAAGAAAGACTCATCCTTGGCGCCTGAGTTTTTTTTGTTTTTGTTTTTTTGACAGAGGTCCCATTTTCATCAGTTCAGGGATTAGCCTCAGTACCCAGAAAGGCTGCTCCTTTAGGAGGTTCTAGGCATCAGAGTTCCCAGACAAGATTGGGTTGGACGGGGAGAGAGTGGATGAGAACAGGGCTGTGTGTGTGCATGAGAGAGAGAGAGAGGCAGATCCATGGAGACAGGCACACACACACAAATCATCAACTTGTAGGCACCATGGCTGTGTCTTATCAAAAGGCCAGCGTGTCCTACCTTCAGGGGTGCCACGAGCTTCTCAATGGAGTCAGGGCTCCCTTGCTTGGGGGAAGTAATAATCTAATGGCACCAGTTCTGTTTGGTGAAAGGTCCAGAAACAAACACACAAACAAATAAGCAAACAGAATGGGGAAACATTTTCTAGACAAGCTTCTCAGAATAGATAAGCTACGACAGGAGATCATGTCAATTAAGAGGAATGCCATCAAAGACACTAGAAGCTGTGGAATGCAGAAATAAATCTTAGATGATGATTAATTATTAGCCATATGGCAATAATAATAATGATAGCTAATACTGCAGGCTTGCCATAATGTTAGGCAGCATGCTAAAAATTTTATATGGATTATCTAATGGACTCTTAGTAACAAGGCATGAGATTCATGCTATTGTTATCATCCCCCTCGTTTACAAATGAGAACCTGAGGGCTTAGAGAAGTCAGAAATGGGCACAGTCACACAGCTATGCACAGGACCAATTTGAACACAGTCTGATTCCAGAACTTGCAGTAATGCATGTACTGTCTCTTAAGAACAGGGCAGTTTCAGAGACGCCTCTATCCACCTTTGATGATACAGGGAGAAAGCAGGCCTCAGATGAAAGGCAGGTAGGCCCTGCCAGGGTGGCCTGTCCCCAGGAGAGATGGAGAAGCCAGGACTGAGACTCCGGTGGCAGGTTCTCTGAGGGAGTCACTGATTTTGATTAAGTAGTAGGGTCTCTACTTACCCGGAACTGACCACCATTGCCATCGTCCAGCTCTAGGATGTATCCTTCGGCGGGCACTGTGGACAGAGGTGGCTGTTTCCAGGACAGCGTGGCGCTGTTGTTGTGGGTACAACACTCCTCCAGCTGTAGGATGGGGGTGGCCAGGACTGGAGAGGAAGCTAAAGAGAAATTAGTGTAACTCTGGCTTCTGTTGAACTGCAAGTATTTCAGTTCATTAGAATGATGAACATCCCCCAGATAAAGACATGGTTAGAAGTAGCTAGCCTAGGGTACATGGGGGACCTGAAAGGGAACCTTCCTAGAGTCTCCAGGAGTGGGACTGGCTCCTGAACTGAAGTGATGCCTTTTTCTTTTTCTTTTTTTTTTTTTTTTTTTGAGTTGGAGTCTCACTCTGTCGCCCAGACTGGAGTGCAGGGGCCGCTCCCGGCCACCGCAGCCTCGACCTGCTGGGCTCCAGCGATCCTTCCACCTCAGCCTTCCGAGTAGCCGGAATTACAGGCGCACGCTACCACGCCTGGCTGATTTTTTGTAGAGATGAGGTCTCGCTTGCCCAGGTGGGTCTCGAACACGCAGACCCAGGCAATCCACTCACCTCAGCCTCCCAAAGGCGCGGGATTACAGGCTGAGCCATCGAGCCTGGCTGTGATGCCTTTTTCTGGCTCACAGTGGCTCTTCCCACCTTACTTGTGGCAGTTGGAGGGTAGAGAGGCCTATTCACAGAGTCGCTTTTTTCTCACTCACTTGAACATCGAGGACACCATCCCTAAGATGGTCCAGCCCACTAATACCTTTTTAGCTTACAATGTGGCTGAAACTGTGCTAATAATTTTATCATAAAATTTATTCAGAGATTTAAACTCAGGTTTATAAACTGGAAACTGCCTATACTGAGAAATCATGCTAAAACCACCATATTTCTAATATGCAATCACGTTTTTAACCAGAGATTCTTTTTTTTTTTTGAGTTGGAGTCTCACTCTGTCGCCCAGACTGGAGTGCAGTGGCCACTCCTGGCCACTGCAGCCTCGACCTGCTGGGCTCTGGTGATCCTTCGGCCTCAACCTTCTGAGTAGCCGGAATTACAGGCACGCGCTACCACGCCTGGCTGATTTTGATTTATTGTAGAGATGAGGTCTCGCCAAGTTGCCCAGGCGGGTGTCGAACCCGCGGGCTCAGGCAATCCACTCGCCTCAGCCTCCCAAGGCGCGGGATTACAGGCTGAGCCACTGAGCCCAGCACCAGAGATTCTATTCCAGGTCTTGTGCACATAGGTTTGTGAAAATTTGGCACCAAGTGACACAAACAGTGATTTCTGCATTTCAAAACTTCTGAGGAACCTCACGTCATTGTCTCATGGCAGCTGTTCCTTGAACACAGCACTAGGTCAAGTCTACACTTTTTCAGGGACTGAACACCCAACTGTGAGCCTGGGAATGGTATGGGAGAAGACTGGGGTGTGACAAGGAGGCTCCTTGTGGCCTTTGAGACTCTGTCATGTTGTTACTAGTCACAATCCCCTCGCCCCCCACATTTTGTACTGTGACTCTTTTGTACTACTTACAACTGTAAATTAGTTGAGCCTTCAGACACACAGGCACAGAAATGCTAGTTAACGCATAATCCCAGTTCCCAGCATAGGAACTCAAAATTCAGTGCTGGGAGCAATGTTTTTACCAAATGTTTAAAAATTTTTGTCTGCACCAAAACATCAATTTATTCTTACTATTATGTTAGCACTTTAATTACAGGGGAGAACAGCTTGGACCCTATCCAAGGACATTTAGATGAACAAATGTTAACGTGGAGCACCTGGTATGCTGCACCAAAATTGGACTCTGTGTCTCATGCATTGAGCTAAATCTGTGTTCGTCAGTCACCCCAACCAAGATGTTTAATTTAACAGCAGTTTAGGAAACAAGTTCTATGGTGGATAACCTAGAAAACAAAAGCAGTGACTATACCATAAGAGATATGAAGGTGAAACAGGTCAATTATCTTATACTTGCGATGGTGAGATATTACAGTAAAACCATGTCTGAGCTACTAATCAAACAAAAGTAAATCAAATCTAGTGAGTAGTGAATTGGAGACAATTAAATTTCAATGGCATAGGGTTTGGATGGAATCTTACAGAACTATGACTACTGTAGCATCAGAAGTCTCAGAGCATCCAGATCTGGAGGAAAGGAGAAAAATCCATTGCCTTGTTCAATAAATAAACTAGAGGAGTAGATGGAAGACATAACTCCTCCTAGAGATCCCAGGGCATCTATGCAAACATGGATATCACTCAGGAATTGTAATTGAAGGGTTAATTTTAACTCATTATAAGTATTAGGGACTTACTTTGTTCTTTGAAATTTGTTTCTCTTATACAAATAATACATTTTAAACATATTAACTGTGGAAGTAAAATATGCCAACTTTAGGCAAACCATTCTTCAAAGGGCTTCCAGAGACGTAGTGGTTCTCTTGGGGATCTCTGTTCTGGACTGTCCTTATCTGTTAGAGCCTACCATCAAACAGTTCCTTGGGCTTCCTTATTTCATTAGCTCCACACCAGTCTTTCTTTTTCCCTTTGTTCATGTGTCAGACAAGTCTACATTTCATCAATTATGAAATCAAAGAATAAGATCACAAGATGGTTTCAACGTAAATCATATGAATGCTTACAATGTCTCTGATAAGAAACTCAAATGTCCCTGTGTAGACACCGGTATAATTAAAAGATTAATTGAAATACATGATGTCATGTGTAATTAAAACATTAGAACTTTGTTTATGAGTCCTCAGTGGACACACTTTAAAAGACCAAAAATATAAAAAGGTCTAATCTCCCAATAATCTTCAGATCTCAAATCTGGAACACCAGATTTAAATAGACAAGGAAATTAACAAAAAAGCAAAGGAGTCAGAGAGGGAAAGAAAGATAAGTAACCCAGAGGCATTTGCATGTGTTTAAATTCATTCCTCAATGTGCTGAGAATTGTTTTTTTCTCTTTTCTTATTTATCCCCCAATGATGTTGTAATATAAAAGGTAAATGTGACAAAATGACTCATTAGCAGAGACTCAGGCTAACATTTTAGAAAAATAGATTTTATAGTGGGTGTTATGTTATCCTATTTCATTTTATTAGGTATAAAATAAATGGTCAACTCGAAATTTAAAGTATTTTCAAGTTAATCTATCTTTTGTGGTTAGGAAATGGGTAGCCTTACAGTTCTAAACTGAAGTCGAAGATAGGGCATTTATTTTATTGGAATACTCACCACTGGGGCTGCCACAGTCATCTTGATCTTTTCGTGTTCATGAGCATTCTGGGACATCTCTTGTTTTTGCCTCAAGAACTAGTTTCTCCTGACCTGATCAGAATTCTAGCAGTTAGCAATCTTTTAGCTTATAAAGTCAAGCTTTAGATAAAAGATTCTCTTAGCTACCAGTGGGCAGCTAGCCTTATTACTTTTCTCAAAGAGGTCTGGTGGAGCTGTGCTTCAAAATTAAATTTTGCAACAATGGCTTCTTACGCCAATGTTTTCCAATGTCTTCCCTTTGAAAGCCCACTCTATTGCAAATTTTATCTCACCTTTTCCTTATTTAATTTTTTCTCTCTAATCTTTCAGACTGTGATCCCTCACAACCATCCAGAATTCCTCTGTGAAAGCAATGGGAATGCAGTGAGGACAAGTGAGAAAGGAAGCTGGGCTCCCAGTCTCAACAGGGAATATGAATCATCAGCAATGCTCTTTGAGCACATACTGAATGCCAGACAGGGGGGCGAGAAGTTTACATATATCCACTCATTTAATTTTCACAACAGCTCTACAAAGAAGGTACTGTTATTATCTCTATTTTGCAGATGAGGAAACTGAAACACAGGAAGCTTTCGTGGCTAGTAAGCAGCAGCTCTGGGATCTGCAGCCAAGCGGTCTGGCTCCACGGGCTGTGTGCTTAGTCTTGCACCATGTTGCACCCCCAGTCTGGTGTTTGATTATCATGTACTGGAGGAAGGTCTCTGTTAGGGCACATTCCCAGTGGGGCCCATCTCACCTCAGTTTACCCTTTCAGTCTCCATGTCTAATTTCAGAAGTTTCCTTCTATTTCCTATAATGTGAATGAAAAAGCTCCGCAAGAGCTGCTGGTAGATATTAGTGAAGTATTTAACCTTCAGAGCTTCGGTGGTTGGGAATGCAGTTTTACTGTGTCATCTTCTCTGAGAGCTCATTTGTAGACTGTCATTCCTCTTGATGGTGGTTAAACCATAAAAATGGCATCTGAGGCAAGTTTAGACTTCAGCAGAACCACAAGTCATTTCTGGAAAGCTATCACCAGCACATGGTTAAGGATAAACATGAACACATGTTCTGAGAACATGCTTGTAGGCCCCGAGATTACGGAGCATGAACAGATTGCATGCAAGTATGTATGATCACACCATCCCTATAACCCTTTGGCAGCTTTCCCTTGAGATTTATAGGAGAGCCTGTTCGGATCACACTGCTCTTGCCTATGGCCTTAGTGCACACTCAGGGCTCTTACATTCAACATGAGGCAATGAAGATAAATGTGTCCTTGGGTAAATAACGGCACTTCAAGGGATGAATGATCAATGGCTTATGTGCTAAAAAGGCTTGTTGCGGGGCTAGGTCACTATTTCGTCCTGGTTCAGAATGAACACACTGGCATTTCATTTCAGCGCCATGACTCATGAATTTTGGGATACTCTGGGTACTTAGACAATTCTGGGGTAATAATTTTTTGAGGAGAGGTAGGTATCTGGAATCTATTCTTAACCAAACAGTGGTGCCGTTGGCTGACTAGGAAAAGACTCTTAAAATTTCCTTCCCATGACCTGAGAAAGAGTTGATGATACTAACTTAGACTTAGGGGAAAAAACAGTACTCTTTCATAAAAATAGAGGGCGAAATTCAATACATTGTTTTCTATAAAAGAAAAGTCTGAAAGATCAAACGCCACTCCCAAGAGTCCATAAAGAAAGTAAGATGATTTTCTAATCAAAATTCAACCAGAAAATATATCACAACTTAGGGATATTTGAACAAAGATGACACCAGCATTCTTCAGATAGATCTCAATTGCCTGGGGGTGATGTGGAATCAGAAAGAACAGACCAGCTAAATCTTTAGCTAATACGAGAA